TCTCTGGTCGATTTGAATTTGTCTTGTCCAGTAGAGTGCGGACGTTCCACGTCGCAAACGTGAAACATTGATGTTTTTTATTTCTCTCACTCGGTTGAGGGGGTATTTTACCTCCGGCTGATGATTTTGTCCCACTCGAATGTTCATGATTGATGTGTGTTAGCTGCGTGAAAATGTTTAACTGTAACGGTTACGCTGCCGCACAGTTTTGGCTGCAACTGTAGCACGGGATGACTATGGCTCAATGAGGACCGCGACGATAGTTCCCTTGTGCTACGTTCTCGACCGGCTAGGAGTAGTTTACTACTCGCCTTCCCCAGAAAGATGGTAGGTCTGAGGATTGTATAAGGCTATACCGCCTATACTCGGACGTCAGAGCCGTCTTTTGTGTAAACAGGGTGCACCGCGTGAAGTTGAGGTTGACTTTTGGGTAAGCTAGGCTATATGGATCGCTTCACTACCCCTTGCACCCCTAAAATTAGCTACTCTTTGGATGACTTCTTCACTGATAGTAAGGTGCACGTTATCAAATTCTGGCCAGATAATAACAATTAGTTTGGTTTTCGCGATATTGATCTTCAGCACAAACGGAAAAAGTGGCCGAATACCCAAACAAAAGAGAACATTTTCCTTACTAGAATTTGACATCATATCTATGCAATCTATTACCTAGTTTATTTCGATTTATTTTTTAAAACTTCTCAATCAGAAATTTAAGGATTATGTAATTTAGTATTATGTACTTGTTATTCCTACGCAATAAAATTACTCTTCTCGCTTCTTACGTCACACTGAAACAAAAAGCCTGAAACTGTTTGCTCGTGGAAAACTTCAAAACAATGACCACCAGCTGCTTTTCCACGCGTAGGCGTTTCCATTATTCTGCTTCAATTCTACGCCGCGCGTCGATGCCAGAGCGAGCTTATTAACGCGGCTTATTATTTGTTTGTCGAGAGGAAAAGATATACGTGCCACAGACATCCACGTGTCCCATTTTCACGTGTTTACATTGTACACGAATTATTCGGTCTTATTTATCTTAGAGCGTTTTAGAGTGGAGTTAGTTTCGTTTCGTATTCATTGGTTTTATTGGTTTTGTCGATTTTATTTTACCACCTAAAGTATTTATGATTAAAAAATGTACATTTTAAGATAGTTACATTACAAATCTAAAAAGTACTGCTGAACTTGAGATTTCAACAATATGATAAAACCTTACTTTACCATAGTACCCTAAAACTTTGAACTCTGGACACGTCTGGGTGAGTTGATTTTTTTTCAGCTGAAATCACTTACAAACAAAATAAACAAAAAACCCAGTACATAGAAGTTGCGTATATATTCTGTGATAGAATCTTCCCCAAACACAAAATCATAAAAAATTCCATATTGTTGCTTTACAATCTAAACACATTTGTAAACATAAACACAATTATTTTAGCGGAAATATAGTACAGTATATAACATAGAAATAGTGTATATAGTGGAGTGCTTTAAGCCCTTATGTGATACAAACCTCGGAATTCATTTACTGTGAACGAGTTTTTATAAAACTTTTTGTATTGTATTGTTAATAAGATATATTACAAAGTTTACCCATTTAAATTCGTTGCTTTCACTTTAATATTTAAATAAACACATATACAAATGCATAGATACAAGATGGCTCCGTATTCCGCAAAAGTTCTGCATCAGGATTCCTATTTGAGATTTTTACTCCAAACATTTTACAAAATATGTATTTAATGGTAGTTCACTATATGTTCACTATATTATATCTAATGAAACAAACCTATATATATTTTTTTTACTAGAATCCAAAAAGAAACATAACTTTGATGTGTAACTTTTTTTGGGGACACCCTGTAGAACTCTAAATAATTTTAGAAAATGCTTTAAATTGACTTACATAAGCTCACAAAATTTCACTTCAATACAAACTTTTGTTCTCCTTGCAAAAACCGCGTCGTATATGTCGCGCCACCCTGTATAATTCGATTTCAATCAAAATTTCAATGGTCAGAATAAGCAGAATAGGTATAGCTTATGCGTTAGATTTATTTACTTCAATAAATTTACTTAGAAAAAAAAATAAAAAAATCAAAAAATTTAGAAGGAAATAATTAAGAATTTACTAAAATTATTAAAAAAAAAATAAAAGCAACGAAAAAAAAATGGGTAAACATTTTAGTATTTTATCTATAAAACACAATACAGAAGATTTCACATTAATACATTCACAGTAATTGAATTCCGAGGTAAAAGTCTCTGGGCACTCCACTGATAGTATATTTTTTAAAAAGCTTATAACAACATAAATAAAATAAAATATAATCTAAACAGCTCTCAGCAAAAAAAACTAGTTACGCCATTGGATTCTAAGTAAAAAACTCTATGGAACTCAGTTGTCATACGAGGGGAATCAAAAAATGCAAACATTTCAAATTCGCCCTGTATTTCAGGAACTAAGAAAGTTAGAACAAATCTATGTGCAGCATCTTTAATTTCATAAGAAAAATTGCACAGTGGTGTAAAACAGTGGTAAAAAAACCCTCGACAAGTGGAAACGAAAAAAAAAATTATAGAAAAGTTAAGTACTACCCTAACCTTTATTGTTTACATAACCTAGTATATTTGTTTATTTGTAATTTATTGTTTGTTGTTGATTAGTTAATTAATAAGTGCAATTAATGGTAACTTACTAAAATATATCATTTAATTTAATAATATCATTTATGAAACTAATTTGTAATAAAGCAAAAATGTTAAAATAACGTTAGTGTTTTATTAGAAATTTCAAAATTGCCTGAGAAATTCTGATCGATAATTCTCGTACCTGGAGAAATAGAAGAGTTCGAAAAATGAGAAACTCTACTGAATAGTAGGTATACCTCTTGATATAACTCTCTAAATTATCATAAGGTTCATCAAAGGAATGACTAGTGAATTATATTTATACCAAAATCTTTTACAAAAGATCTAACCAGGTCGAATTACTAAAAGGCTCGCTAAAAGGCTATTGGTCTTACCTTAATGTTTCTCATGTACATTTCTAAATTAATTTTCTATTTTTTTTTGTAGAAAGAGAATAATTTTATAATACATTTACGTAGAAGAGAAAATTATATTATTTAATACCACCTTCACCAATTTGTCAATAAACGTGTTAGAACCGTATTGTAATTTAATTCAGCTTTGTAGATTTTCAATATGTCATTATTTTTTTAAGTCAAAAATTTTGATATTATATACTACAAGAAACGTAGTACTAGCAGAAAATAGAATTACTATTTTAATGTTACTTTTTATTTCATAGCTCTAATCACAAATTTTGGCCAAATTTAAAATATTATATTTTTTATTTTTAGCCCTATTTTCATAAATTTTCTAGTAAGCTCTTTGAATAAGAAGACTAAGGAAGGAGCATATCAAAAATCTTAGGTACACCGCGATGGGCCTCAAATATGGCCGACTTAAATTCCGGTTTATCAGTGTCGTTCTAATTTTATTTAAAAAATGTAAAACTATGATGTAGCGTAGACGTGGGGTAGACTCAATAATTTGTTGTTTTATTTTACGTTGTGAATAAATGTTGGTAGTTATTAAAATTGTTATAAAATATATAATTCTAATAAAAATAGATAAGTTATAATAAGTATTTATTAACACAAACATCCGATACGCTACTGAAGCATGTAAGTCAAATTAACGTATCTAAATTCTTTGACATCTAATCTTTGACAAGCAATAAATAAAAGCTAAAAATGCAAGAAAAATATATAATTTAGTTAATTTAAGTGAATTTCATAAATGATCGGTTTACTACACGTATGTATATTATATAGTCACTTACTAGCGAAAAGTTGTTCCATTATTTCACTCAATTTTTGCCGAGAGCTACCGCACGCTACACAACCAACTATTTTAGAGTCTTTTTCGATAAATCGCGATAGTGTCACTGTTAATTTAAGTTCTGCCACAATTTCCATCTAGATTTACTACCTTTATACAACTATCAGTAGTAGAATAAATAATAAATAATATAAAATAAGCTCCGTAAAGACTGACAAATCCACAAAATTTAAAATCAAATGCAAATGTGTCAAATGAATCGTCAAACAGAACTGTCAAGGATCCCCACCCTAGAGAGCTTTTATGGTGGCTTTTCCGCCCACCATGCATGAATACATGGATAGCATTATGCTCCTTCCTTAGTCTTCTTATTCAAAGAGTAAGCTGTATATAATTAAATCACCCTCGATAAACCCTGTATAACATGCCAAATACTAAAGTTTATAAAAAGCTGACTTCAATAATTAAAGTTAATATAATTAGGTATATACAGCTTGCTGAATAATTCATGAAAATAGGGCTAAAAATAACAAAAACCAAAGCAAACACTTTAAATTGGACCAAAAATTTTTCCGATGCGTTTTTTTGCATCTGAGTGTATAAGCCTTGTATAAGTTGTGTGCTCTAATATGTCTTAAAAAATACGAATAAAAATACTTAAGTATACCGGGTGAGTATTAAATAATGCAAATATTTTCAGGGTTGGATGTCTATATCGATGAAAGAAGTCCAAAATAACTGTCCAACACCAAACCAAACCGAGTTATTCAAGTTTGAAAATAAAAATAAAAAATATTTATGTTTAAAATATTTTGAGTGCAAACGGAATTTTTCTGTATTTGTATCTCTTTTAATGCCGTAAGCATAGAGTAAAGCCGTAAACCATTGCAATATCAGAGATTAAGAAATTACACCATGGAAAAATTTGCGGTAAACAGGCAGTTCTAAAAAGTTTCAAAAAAATATACAGAAAAATTTAAAAGAATATACACATTTTTTAATTTTTTTTCCGAAAAAACTCATATACGTGTTTCTGGCGTAAAATTATACCACTCATAAAAATATTTACACCTGTATAAGACTCACCCTCTACTATATGTATACCTCTCCCCCTATTTTAGTAGTATTAAGAAGAAACTAATCCTATATTCACTTAAATATCTATTTATTGTCGTCTATATTTCTTAAAATTAAGTACATGTTATATTATATATCCATTATAAATATACTGATAAAATCGAAAAGTATATAAAAGTAAAAAGCATGAATATAATTGGATATACTAATATCATTTTCCAAAAATTATTGGTAGCGGTACATATCTTCTTCGTCCTAAAAATGAAACACCTCTCTTGCTTCTTATTAGTTGTTCTTCTATTTTATTTCTGTGCATTGCTCCACCAATCACACTATCGGAATGTAGCAGTACCAGAAATAGAACTGCTGAAATAGCCAGGAACATTTTTATCTATAAAACGTAAAAAATAAAATCACATTAACTTTATTTTAACAACAGCAGTCACAATCCAGTTAGAGCTAGTTAGATTATAAAAATGTTTGGATTTTGCATACTGATATACTACTACTAAAACTTACAGAATTCTATATTTTTCTAATTCTAATATTTTAATTCTGTAAACTTTGCTACTACTGTGTGATTGAGAAAAAAGGGTGTGAAGTTTGCTTTGTAATGACCAATCGATCGACATTCGACATCCACATATAATTTTTATGAATAATTTATATAGTAACTTAACTTTCTAATAAAATGACAGCAATCTTTTTTTTTATTTTTAAACTACCTATAACGCCGTTTCTTTTTCGATCGTATGGTACACCTGACTGGCTCTTATATTTTTATGGTTGTTGACAATTTTCTTCTTAGCAATTTTTAATAAAATTTTTATTTCATCATATTATTCTTAAAAAAACGTCTTTTTTTAAACTGTATTCTTAATTTCTTTTTATTTGTCTACAGTGTATCCCAGAATGGTGTCTACAAGAGGAAAAACTATTTTCTTTTATTACTTATTATATTAATAATTTGAGAATTAAGCATTCTGTGCTTCCAATAAAATGATCCGTTTCTACTTTTACAAATTTCCAGGCCGCGTTTTAGAGAAAAAAATTGGCGCCGAGAGGCACGTATAGCCGCTCATACTAAAATATGTTAATAAGAAGTTGGTAGGCAGTTCTTTTAGTTTCAAAGTAAAGGAATTTTTCCAATTTTTTTTTATCCCATAAACTGCGACTTTGACTGATTTTGATGTTATTACAAATTTTGTTGCAAATATTATTCCTAATCTTAAATTGAAAACCGCGTTTCGCTAGCTATTGTAATTTTGGAGTTACGTTTTTTTTAATTTTTAACCCCCTCCCATACCCCGTTACCAACCCCCCACCCCCACCAAAAACTAATGACCAGATTCTCGGGTGCCACAATATTTTTGTACCAAATTTGGTTAAAATCGGTTTAGCGATTTTTGAGTTATCGTGTTACAGACGGATAGACAGACAGACAGACACCATGAAAATATTTTGTATTTAGGTCATTTATGACCCAAATAACTCATTTTGAAAGAGTGAAATTAAAAAAACTTTTTTTTGCCGATCTTAATAGCCTATCATACCTATTGGTATGGTCGGCAAAAGAAAAAAAAACGGTTGATTTTTTTTTCTAATAGCCTATCATACCTATTGGTATGGTCGGCAAAAGAAAAAAAAACGGTTGATTTTTTTTCTAAAGTTCTAAAAATCAAATCGTTTTTCTATGGTAACAATTTTTTATTATTTTATTATTAAGATAATTATAATTTTGATTAGTCATTATTTCTTGCTTTTGTTAAGGTATTATCCTCTCTTAACCTAACCTAACTAGTATCGCCCCTTCCGTAACAATGAATTAAATACATGTTATGTTTCTTTTAACATTTTTACACAGCAAAAAATATATTACGTTAATCTAATCAAAATTAATAATAATCACTAAACGTTATCCAGCCCAGGGTGAGTACATATCAATTGCAAAACCTCTAACGAGGCGTAGGGGACTCAAAACCTCACAAAGAAATTCAACTGTATTATCATATTCTTATATTTTTTTTCTAAAACGGCATGAAAATTAAAAAAAAAGTATAATCGGAATAAATTATTTTGGAACAATTTGTTATATTATATGGATTTTTCTGAAAATATTTATAATAATAATGCTATTCCCCTTGGAAAGACGATCTGGGGACATATTGTATGTTAGGTTTGATTACATTATAACTGTATTTTTTTAATAAAAAAATGTTTACTTACAAAATTGGCCATCTGTAATTGTCACAAATATGTACTTTGCTAGAGCTCACCTTATAAGGATGTAAAATTAACAACTAAAAAAATAAATCTGAAAAATATTTTTCATCTGAATCTTATGACGTTGACAGTGTCCTCGTTATTATTTGTTTTTTGTTATTTTTAAAAGTGTTAATTAAAAAAGACGTCCCCTTATTACCAAGCAAAATATTTGTCAGTCTGTACTACACTTGATAGTAATTAGTGTATGTAGTAGGTACATAGTAACGGAGTAATAACATAACTTCTATAATTTACTTCCTCTAATAAGCTGACTAAATAAAGGAACAAAAAAATTGGTCCTTCAATATAGATATTATTATAATATTTATATAAATCTAATTCCGTAATATGCGATACTGCTAGTGATGAGCAAATGCAAGACCAAGACTCGCTTAGTCTCCACTCTTGGTCTTGGTCATGGTCTTGCTGCAAGACTCTTGTCTCTTGCACTTTTTTAATGGATTTTTACTAAAGCCACTTTGTACATAAAACATCTTTATACAAGGTGATTCTTCACGGCCATGGCACGTTAAACGTTTATGGAATCATAGGATTTTTTTGAAAATTTATATAATATACATGTGCTGGTCCAAACTGTATTCTGAAAACTTCGGCAGAATATTAACATTATGTCCTAAAATGCTTCCTTTGGGAGATACAGGGTGTAGAAGTTTCATTTTTATTTCGTTTTTTCAAATAATTTCAAATACAACGTCCATATTTGGATGAAAATTTGTATCTGGGTATTTTTTGATATGGTAAATTTGATTTCGATGTCAATATGCCTCCTCTACTTGTAGGGGGCGCCACCTACAGGTTTCTTAACTGGTTTGAAGAGTAATAACTTTTTGTCCTTACCTGTATAAAACTACTGAATATAAAAATATACATCTCCGTAATTTTTTGCGTAAAAGATTTTTTGGTAAAAATCTCTACGAGCCACCGTTTTCAATATATTTGGAATGGAAATAGTCAATACATGTCATTTGTAGCATTAGAAGTTATAAAAAAAAAGATGGAATGCTTTTTTATAAGAATTTTCTTTTAGAAAAATACTAAAACAACTAACACTATGCGACGGAGCTGTTCGCCGCGCCGCCGGTGAGCAATGGGTCGTAAGCTAGTGAAAATTAAATTGTGATACTTACATCTTTATAAGACACTGGGCGCTACTCAGTTTTCCATTTAATTTCGAAAACTTCTAAGTTGAAAACTGAGAAATCAACTCAGAATATAGGTATTACTTATTTTAGGAATTACACAAATGAAACGCTGAGATAACTAATAACTAAGTATAATTAATAATTAAATGTTAAATAGAATAAAGTCAGAATATGAAAAATTTGATGTTCGAAAACATTTTTTAGTAAATTGTATGTGTAAAAATAGATCACTCAAAATGGTGGTTTAAATCTGCACGCTTCTGAATATTAATATTTTATTAATTATTCCGCATAAAGTCTGGCGATCTTGGTACCAAAATGTAGGGACTCTTTATATTCAACAAAAACCGTACTATATGAATATCAGAAATATGCATAACATGGCATGTGTAAAATTTATCAAAGTGAAATTCTCAAGCAATTAAATATATAATATGCCTGAAGGGCTTAATGAATCAAAATGAATTTAAATTAAAAATGTAAAATTAAATGATCTGGCCATTTTTAATCCGTGCTGGTCACAAGCTGGTTGTGGTGAACTGCTACTGGAACTGGATTGTGGTATAAAAAATCTCTGGACAGACAGGATCGAAAACTTATGTGAATTCAGGAGATTCCTCCGTTATTCCTGATGTCAAATGTAGGGACAAAACGTGGACCAAATGTCAGGTGCAAAAAAGACAAAATGGCACCAGAAAATAAAGCCACCATAAAATGCCTTACAGTAAAATTCTGCCGTAAACTAAAATGCTGCCATAAACTGAAACCCTCTGCTCAGAGGGTATTCCCAAACAAATTGGCAAAATACCAACAAACTCCGATAGCTCTATCGGGTTCAGCCTTTAGCCACCAATATGGCGAGGGAAGGTAGTCACGAGGTATGACTATACACCGTCAGATATAAAGTGACGAACGAAATTCGACCGGACTCAAATATTTCGCAAGAAATAAAATTTAAAAACAAAATAAAAGATAATAACAATACTTAGAATGCCATCTCGATGCGAGGACTTAAACTTGAACTATTTAAATAAAATAATTCTGTACATTTATATAAATTATGTGAATTTTAAATAAAATGCTACACATTATTGACAAAAATTGTGCACGTTGACTGGATAGTTATTAGTCTGAAATAATAAATTTTAAATGTTTTTGTACCAAAGATCAACAGAAGCTGTTTTATCGTATTATTTTCTAGAAAATTTCATGATTAGCTTAAAAAATTAAATAGTTACCAAATTTATTACTTCAGCCAAATAACTATTTAGTCAACATGTTAATTTTTTGTCGACAATGACATGTATTCATTATTTCTATTCTTAATATCTTGAGAACGGTTGCTTGTAGCGATTTTTACCAAGGGATATTTTTTACTTAGAAAATTACGAAAATGTGTATTTTTTCACTCAGTAGTGTAATACAGTTACGGACGAGAAATTAATACTCTTCAAAACAATTAAAAAAGATGTAGGTGGTGCCCCCTATAAGTAGGAGTCATATTGGCATCGAAATCAAATTTCTCATGTAAAAAAATCCCCAGATACTAATTTTCATCCAAATACCGAATTTAGTTTAGAAATTATTAGGAAAAAATCGAAACTTCTATACCCTGCATCTCTGAAACGAAGCATTTTAGGACATATATTTATACGAACTTTTTTACTTATTTTTATATGCAAAATACGCTGCCGAAGTTTCCGGAATAAAGTTCGGATCACCCAGTATATACAGGGTGAGTTTCCTACGACGTTCTCTATGGATATCTCGGAAACTACTGGAGATAGAGAGTCGGTTAAATGGAGAAAGAATTGCAGTTTTGTGGGGTCATAAATATGCGCCTCTCAGATTTTTGAAAAAGTTCATGGCTTACTAGATATTCCGAAAAAATAAATTTCGGCTATTTTAAAAATTGTCCCTAATTCCATTATAATCTATTTTAGACAAACAAAAAGTTTTCAGATTGTATCCTCCGTTTTTTTTCTAAGGTCTGTCATTTTTGAGATTATATGACACAAATATATGTTTTTTTAAATGTAAACCATAGTTGGCAATGAGTTTATAAAAAGCGCCATTTTTTAAGCTTTTTATAGATATAAGCTATAATATGTTTTCTTCGAAAAATTACTCAGTTGTAGCCAATTCTTATCATTTTTAATAAGTTATCACTTAGTTAGCCATGGAAACAAGTTCAATTGCCGTTGCTCTCAGAAATGTGAAGCTCCTCGATCACCTGACCTATCCATTTTAATTTTTTATGCGGTATGGTTAACAATAAGGTTCACAAAAGAACTGAATTAAGAGAGGCATTCGTTGTGGCGCTACAAGAGAAGTTTAATTATGTCGACCGGGCCTTCTGTGAGAATAGGTAGTAATTCACTTTTAAAAGATGCAACTCAAAACAGTGGCGGTTTTTTTGAACATTTTCTAAAATAACTTAAAATGTATGTAGTGATATTATTTTTTTAAGTTTTAGTTTGTGTAATGTAAATTGTAAAGAACCGTTTAATAATATATTCTGACTTTGAAGTTATCAATCATAACAGAAGAAGAATACCATGCAATCTAAGTGAAATTAGTCTAGAAAGATAAGAATTGGCTATAAATAAATGTAGCTTTTCAAACATGTCTTAAAACCCGTTCTCTAAAAAACGTAACATTCACCGGTCAACGTATCCTCGAAAATGTATGGCCAACGTGTATGGCCAAGAAAAGTTGAACCAATAATCCTACACGCTTTTCTTCATTTGAAAAATTCATATTTACATTTTTTGTTTATTTTAATTTACAAAGTTTGGTTGTGACAGCTTTACATTTCTGAGAGTAAAGATGATTAAACTTGTTTCCATGGCTGTTTAAATTATAAGAATTGGCTATAACTCAGTAATTTTTCGAAAAAAAAAAACATATTATTATAGCTTATATCTGAAAAACTTAAAAAATGGCGCTTTTTATGAAGTCATGGCCAGCTATGGTTTCCATTTAAAAAAAAACATATGTTTGTATCATATATCAAAAATGACAGGCTTTAGAAAAAAACGGAGGACACAATCTCATTAAGGATGTGATTATCTACAACTTTTATCTGAAAAGTCTTTGTCTAAAATAGCTTATAATGGAATTAGGGACAATTTTTAAAATAGCCAAAATTAGCGTTTTTCGAAATATCTAGTAAGCCATGAACTTTTTCAAAAATCTGAAAGGCGCAGATTTATGACCCCACAAAACTGCAATTCTTTCCCCATTTAACCGACTCTCCATCTTCAGTAGTATCCGAGATACCCATATAGAACATCGTAGGAAACTCACCCTGTACATAAACGTATATGCATCCACGTTGATAATTCCAAATTTAGTATCAAATAAGGTCTTTAACCCGAACTTAGATCTATAAAAAAGTACCTATACAAATATGATTTTCATCTGTATCCGAAATTAACTAAATCAGTGTGGCATTAATAATTATTTATTTGTTATAGCAATTTTTACAACGAATTTGGTCTTGAGGGCTTTAATTACAAAAATAATAGCAAAAATTGTTATGGTATTTAGTACCTACAATAAAGTTTTGCTTAAATGACCCTGATGGCAGACTATGTTTTGTTTTCATAACTTTACTGCGATAATATATTAAAATATATGTATATTTTAAGAGTGTTTTTGAATATTCACACTATTTTTTTCAGATATTTCTAAATTAACCAAAGCATGACATGAACCTTTGGTTAAAAATAAATTGTTTAAAATTGATAAAACATGTTGTGATAATAAAAAGATTATTTACTTTTTTATTATCACAACATGTTTTATCAATTTTTTTCCTTTGTTAATACAGTGGTAATAATTAGATGAAACTATGATGAGCAGGAAGTAAAACAAGTTCTAATAGCGTGATTATTAGTTTGCAAGTGATTATTGTCCTTGTTATTTCTACTGTTAGGTCCAAATGTATATTTAATTTTACTTATCTTTTACTTTTTGTCTAGTATCAATTATTATTATTAGTTATAGTAAGAGGAATCTTAAAAATTATAATTTATTCTTATTTATTGATTAAAATTAATTTAAATTAATACATTTCAGTATTGTTCAGTAAAATATTACACAAAAAAAATTGTTATAATATGTACTGGAATCAAGGATTACCGAGGGGTGAACACTTAGGGGATTTATGGTGTACACATGAGAGGATTTCCAGGGGATGTACCGAGGATGTAGTGGATGTACCGAGGATGTAATGGATGTACCGAGGATGTAGTGGATGTACCGAGGATGTAGTGGATGTACCGAAGATGTACTAGAGGATGTAGGGGATGTACCGAGGATGTAGGGGATGTACCGAGGATGTACTAGAGGATGTAGGGGATGTACCGAGGATTTACCGGGGATGTATTTCAAATTATTTGGAGCGTAATTTGCCGAATGCGATGTTTCAAGTCATCCAAATTTGTGGGTTGTCTTTTGAATACATTTTCCATAAGGTATCCTCTTCGGTATCCTCTTAAAAAAGGTTTCTTTCTAATATTTTTTTCACTTTTTAATTTTTAAATGAGAATAACTCCAAAAAGCTTGGATTTGGGTATAGCACTTACATGGAAAATATTCAGAATTTTAAGGGCAATTCAAAAATACAGAAAAATAATAATTATGTTGCCACGAGGGTTGCCATTAAAAGAAATTGTTTTGGACAAAGCATTTTTGAGACACCCTGTATAATATTCATTTTTTGCATAATCTGCCCCGGAAAAATTAAAATAATTGATGTGGCCGAGCGATTTCCAAAAAAATGTGGTTCTCGAGATGTTGATATTTATTCAATATTTTACAACCACCCTGTACGAAATCAAATAAGATCGAATATCGATATTGTGAATATAGATAGATATAGATATTTCCGATATGAAGTATTCATAAAGAGATATAGCGGTATCTGTTATATCGATAGCTATATCGATATTTATGGACCAATATATCGTTACTTGGTTTTCACGTATGTGAATTAGCTTGTGCACATCCGTTTTTCTCAATGAATTTATTAAATAAAGTTTGCACAAGCCGATTTTCACAAGCCGATTTGCACAAATTTCATGGGAGTGAAAATGGACCTTTATTTAATATATCGATAAAAATATCGATACTCAAGGCTTTGTGGCTCACCCCTACTCATAACCTCAAAATATCTCGCAAAATGTATGTATAAGTCAGATATATAGACTTTAATCCATATCTCTAGTATAAGTTTATGCAAAACTGTGTTTGGCATGTGTGTTCATATCTTATTGCATAGTGCCGTAAGCATTATGAATTAAAGGGAAGTGTGTGTAAATAATTATTATTGTACCCTCTATACGTCAAAAACGAAGTTCATAAATGCGAATGCCTCTAGCGTTGCCTATTTTTAGGTCTGTTTTATAAAGTAGATCCTCGGTAGCTACTAGATCTCATTTTTATTTGGGGTTCAAAACACGAGATTGATAACTTTGCACATAATATAGGGCTTTACGCATGACTAAGTTATTTTTTCCGCCGACATAAACTGCATAAACCGAGGCATAAACTGCTGTTATACAGGGTAAGTCTTAAATAAGTGCAAATATTTTCAGGGGTGGTATATTTTGACCCCAGGAACACGTCTATGATGTTTTTTTGCAAATAAAATATGTTAAAAATCGTGCATGTTCTTTTAAATTTCCCTGTATATTTTTCGAAAACTTTTTAGAACTGCCTGTTCATCGCTAATTTTCCCACGTTATAAATTCTTAATCTCTGATATTACCATAGTTACAGCTTTACTCTATGGTTACGGCACTAAAAGGGATGCAAATACAGAAAAAAATCAGGTGGCTATCAAAATTAAAAAAAAATCATTTTTTTTTAAATTTTGAAACTTAAATAACTCGGTTATTTTGGACTTATTTGAAAAATGGTAAAGAAAAAATATGTTTCTTTTATCGAGATGTACCAGCCGTGAAAATATTTGCACCTATTTAAGACTCACCCTGTATAATAAAAGTAACGGCGAATTGTTGTAGGCACAATAATAGCCGAGATTGTTACAGCTCTGGCAAGATTTGATATGGGTTGGCGCGCCTAAGTTCGATTCTCGATGACCCCATATAATTTTTTTAAATGGTTTTGATTTTTTTTTATCCTTTTGAATTCAACAAAAATATTAGGTGTCAACTATATTACTAGCCAATAAATTGTAGAGGTTTGAGAGATTTTCTGTAGTTATACATATAATAAAGCTCGTAATAAAGTGGGAGATCGCTCTAACATAAATAACAATTCCGGTTTCGTCGTAAGTAAAGTAACCTTAATTTTGTTATTTTAAATAAAAAACACCCTGTAAATTTTTATATCCCTCTAGTAAATGTAAGTCGAAATGGTGCTTCATCTTTTTTTTATATATTTAATAGTTTCGGAGATAATAGCGTTCAAAATTTTAACTTTCTTTTTACCATTCAAATAAAATTTAAAAAAAAATATATACAGTGTGTCCAAGATAAGTATATCTCGAAAAGTATTTTAGATACGTAAAACGGTTCATCACGAAAATTATTCTAAATGTATGGCGTACACATGAGAGGATTTCCAGGGGATGTACCGAGGATGTACTAGAGGATGTAGGGGATGTACCGGGGATGTTCCGAGGATGTAGTGGATGTACCGAGGATGTAGGGGATGTACTAGGGGATGTACGAGGATATAGGGAATGTACCGAGGATGTAGGGGATGTACCGAGGATGTACTGTAGGATGTAGGGGATGTACTAAGGATAGAGGATGTAGGTGTACACTTTTTGCCCTATGTGTTTACCCCTCGAGGATTACTCTATTTTCCATACATGGTCATAAGTAGTACAAACAAAATAATATTTTGAGAACCTTTTAGTAGCTTTGTCACAAGACTCATACATGCACATATACAAGCAATAAAACAAAAATATATTTGGTACTATCACATATATTTATTTATATAATAAAAAATAACTTAAAGTATATTAATCCTAAAAACACAAGAATACATTAAATAAGGACAATCAAATCTTTCATAAAATCAATTACACAAATTAATCACAAAAATAACTTTGAACAATATTACATTAAAAATATGTTATATTGTTTAAAAACATTATTTTCCATGTTATATTTAAATTATGTTGTTTACTGTTTACCCAAATACCATTGGAATAAATTTCCGACCACCAAAGGATCGCTTTTGCCTGACATTTGATGCAGAAGATGAATTCAACTTTGAACTAACAACTTCTTTACTTTCAGCACTTTCCGAGCTGTTTTCTGAACTATCAGATTCCTCAGAACTATCTGATTTATGTTTTTCTTCTCCCAAAGATCTCTGTTCTCTTGCTAATAATCCAGCGGATGATGTCGATGTGGAGGTTGAAGTGGATGATTCAGTTCCTTTATTGTAGCCTTCGGCATTCTCAGAACGGTTTTCTGAAGTGTAATTACCATCATTTGGAACGATAAATGCAATTCCTTCTTGCTCAATGAATATAACTGGTATAACGGTAGAGTTGATGTCTTCTTTGCTTTCGCCACTTTTAGAGCTATTTTCTGAGCTACCTGATTTATCAGATTTATCTTCTTCTTCAACTAAGGATCTTCGTTCTCTACCTATTAATGAAGCTGGTGAATGTGATGTAGACTTAAATCCTTCAACCTTCTGAGGACTCTTCTCTGAATTGTAGTCGGTAAAATTACTTTCATCAGGGATGGCAAATGCGATTTCTTCGTCTTCGATTAATATGACTGGTCTTGCAGTAGAGTTGAAATCTTCATTGTCTTCTAAGGTTGAATTGGTGTCGTTTGTTCCTTTTCTTACGCTGACTAGAAGTGGCCTGGATACATCGTTGATTGGATTACCAAGAACAAAGCTGGAGAGGAAGACAAGAAGTGTGATTCCAATTAGAAATTGGCTCTGAAAATAAAAAAAAGTATGTTTAAGCATAAATTAAAAAAAAAAACTTTTGTTGTATACAGGGTGACCCATATTAAAATTAATGATAAAGTTATTATTTTTTTAATTGCAACTTCTATTTTTCTGTAAGTATTAATAAAGTTAAATTCCCTCTAGGTTTTAACCACTTTTTGTATATACTGTTATTAATCAAAGTTATAGTAAATAACAAAAATCCGTCCAGCACCGCATAGTGCTGCAAATAAAAATTGTTTACGATATGCAGAAAACAAAAATTGCAATTTAAGAAAAATACAACTTTGTCCTTACTTTTTTTGCGAAGCCCTATGTACAACAAAATATTTTTATATTTTAGGTATGCACTTTATCAATGTTTATCTGTTTATACTTTTTCATACAATATACATTTAATACACCAATACATAATGCCTCAACAACGACGATATTGGACTACCCCTGTAGAAATAAAATAATAAGTTTTAGTTTTTTAAATTAGAAAGACCATTTTTTAATACTTTAATTAAAGATTTTCGATTATTAATGTTCTTTTTTCAGAATACAGCAAACTTCTTTACTCCTTGCCAGCGATATTTTTAATTAAAATTAAATTTAATAGAAATTTCCTAATTATTATAAAATTTTCAAAAAGAAATTAAGCTTAAAAAGTAACTACAGAATTATTAAAATTGTTTATTGTAATTTGCAGGCAATTTAGAATTTGAAAGTTTTCTACTTCTAACGATATTTACTTACCAAGCTACGCATTATGGATGACTTAACACAAAATATATTAATAATATTGGACAGCTCTTCACTTTGATGAATCAGATGGAATAATATGGATTTACTCCAAAAGCGTTACTTTTTATACCGACTGTTCAGATGACCTACCGACAATTTACACCTCTGAGAACCAATAAAAAACGTAAACAAAATAGTTTTGTTGATTTTCTCGAACAGTTGGTGTTTTTAAAGCATATTAAATGCGTCGGTACCTTGCTCTTAAAACGTCAGCGATGGAATATCTTTGTGACATGTGATGAATATAAATATAACAAATGAATACTTAATTGAACAAACGTTATTATTAACAAAAATTAATAAGTTTCCTCCATTATGCATAACATACGATGATATATGATATTTTTTATGGTATATAATAAAAATATATTATTTATTAGTTTTCTAAGTATTCTATATTTATTTTATGTGGTGTTTGACACTTTAAGAAGGTAACATCTTTGGTTTATATTATAACTAGCCTGTACCAGCGACTTCGTTCGCGTCGAATTAATCATTTGACTTTCGAAAAATCCGTTTGCCAAAAGTAAGCTTTTTAGGTGAAGCAGTTTAAGCAGAATCGTGGTTAAGAAATTACCCAGCTTTTTGGAACACCCTGTATTATTTTTTAAAAATTTTCAAAATATGTAAAAAAAACGTTTTTTGTCCAAGCGTTTCCCGAAAGACTAACCGTTTTTTAAATAACAAATATTGTAATACTTGAGGGGCGTTTTCACCCTCTTGGAATTCTACTCCCCACAGTCAATCTGTTTGCCAAAAATCAGCTTTAAATGTCAAGCAGTTTAAGCAGAATCGTGATTACTCAATGGTCATATTTTATGAAACACCCTGTATAAATTTATAAAAAATCTTAAAATATGTAAAACAACAAAATAAAATATACGTGTTTAGGCGTTTTTTCCGAAACTTGACCGTTTTTTAAATAAAAAAAACCTTGTTTCACCCTCTTGGAACTGGAATTTCGAAAAATCCCTTCTCATCGAACCTCTACACCCTAGAATCAACCTGTATGCCAAAATTGAGCTTCTTACGTTGAGTGGTTTGAGCAGGATCGTGATTAATCAGTATGTCAGTCACTTAAGGATTTTATATATTAGTATAGATTATGTATGTGATTTTTATTATTACCAATTAACGTTATCACAAACTATTGTTTAGTTCTGCAGTGTTTTTTTTTCATGATAACAATAAAGTATCTTGAGTTTTACGCCTAGACATTTTCTAAAAATAGTCTGAGGATCTCAACATTAAAACAAAAATTTAAAAAATAATTTAAAAAGTTTTACTACCTACCGCAGTATAATCCATGTGAATCATTATATAAATACTATGTTTTTAAGAATAATCTTATATGTTTTTAATGTTTCAAATACTTATTATATATTTTTCTCTGTATAATATCATAAAATATAATTTTCATTTTTGGTTTTCCATTTTACTGGCGAAAACCCATTTTTTTCCTGGAAATGAGTCAGCAACAAGGGTATAATAGTGGTAGCTGACATAATGTAATCTCAAACAGTAAGGCAGCACTTTAGGCGCTCACAGACCCAAAGATATCATCGAGAATACTATGGGAGTTTCTGGATGAACTTGGAATTCTGGCCAAAAGGTACAGAATTAAATTATAAATTACTCTGGGTGCCGAGATACAGTCGAGAAGCTAGTAAGGCCAGGATCATCGTAAACCTATCTTGGTCCAGAGTCCAGAGTAGCAGTCACTGAAGAGACAGTGGGACAGCAAAATATAGCAAAACCTTTATCTACGGACCTAATTCTAAAACTACAAAAGAACTGCCAATGATTAGCACGAATAAAGTGCGGATTACAGCAAATCTCTTGGCATAATATAGTTGTCAAGTTGGCATAACATAGTTGTACTATCTAAACAAGCTCAATCTTTGAAAAAAAAATCAGAGGACAAAATATGTCACTGCTAGGCTGTGTTAAGCTTGATTTTCATGCATCCGTTATTCGTTGATACGATGGTCCGATATTAATTTTATTGGTTGACTTTAAAAACCTCAATTGGTTAAAAATGGTTAACCAATCGAAGTCTTTAAATTCAACCAATAAAATTAATATCGTATCATCGTATCGTCGGACAACGGATGCATGAAAATCAAGCTTTACAAGCGATATTTTATACTTTGGAAATCAAGGTTAGCGCCAAAGAAATTCTGCTGCCATTCTATCAAGGAGATGCATAAAATGGTGCGTGGTAAAATGATAAGATACTGAGTGCACACATAGAAAGGGGGCAAGTTTCGACATAATTTTGTATATATAAATTCGGGTACATAGCGTCCTACGCCTTCCGGTACCCAGTTGCCAGCCTTTCCTATTTTCCCAATCCCCTGGATGAAGATTCCTCTGGATGAATGTACTCCTCCAATTCATGTTGCTTTTGGCCTTCCCTTTTTTCTCCTTTCTGATGGTATCCATTTCAAGACTTTCTTAAATTGTAGATGTCTTCTCTCTATTCCATCTATTATCGTTTGCTGGACATGCATACTTTTCCCTATCTTTTTGTTCGGTACTCTTTCCAGCCCCGCAGATCTTCTCCAGAAGTCTATCTCGAGTGCTAATAGCGAGTGCTATGTCGAGTGCTAGTGAGCTGCCATGTTTCACATCCATACGAAACTATACTTTTAAAGATGGAATTATAAACATAAGACATAATTAAAGAAATTCAGTATACAGGGTGAATATTTATATATTCAGTATACAAGGTGTTCTAATATTCCGTGGACATTGAGTTACTGCGTAATTTTGGAATCAAAATAAATTCATTGGACACAGTTTACCTCTATACCAAAGTGTCTCGTTTTTCCGTTAGACTTAGTGATCATCATTTAAAAATAAATCCGAACGTTAATTAATTTAAAATGTATGTAGCTTATTGCATGTATAAATATAAATAAATAAATAACGCTTTATTGTGCAAAAAGCCAAAATAGCTTCATCGACAAAGCATTTACACGACAAACAAAAGCACAAAAAATACAAATAATAAAAAATACACAATACAAATCATACAATTAAAAAAAAAAATTAAGTCATCAAAATTACAAATAGAACATACATTACATATTACACGGCAATTAATTCAGAACACAAAAAAAGGCACATCAATACAATTTTACAATAGGAAGATTGTAAATAGATACAATCTTAAGAGTTATAAAATATTAAATATTTGACCTTTGACCAGTATGTAAGATGATCAAAATTTTAAAATTCAAAATTGTTCATGATTAAACATCAACAAACAAGTCGTTCACCGCATATAGGGCTCTCTCCAGTAAGTATGATTTCAGAGCTTTGCGAAATGCGGAAAAGAATGAAAGCGACTTGATATAAAAAGGCAGATGATTGTACATTTTTTTGGCATTGTACAGTATTGAACTTTTAACTAGTTCTGAGCTCGGGGTTGGCAGATAAAGATCGTGCTCCGCATTCCTGAGTGGATAGTTATGAGATGGCCTTTCGGGAATAGCAGATATGTGCTTGCGGATTAAGCAAACGGATTCACAACTGAATAAAGAAGGAAGAGTCAGTATTTTGAATTTTTTAAAGAAATCCTGGCAGTGAGTTCTACTGTTCAGTCCCAATAAATATCGAACTCTTTTGAAGTCTGAAAATACGATCAAATTTTGTTGCGCAGCAGCAGACCAGAATGGAAGGGCATAACGAAGATGTGATTCATAAAGGGCGTAATAGGCTATTCTAGAGGTTGGTTAAGTTTCTTAGAAACTGATCTTAGTGCAAAACAGGCAGAGCTTAGTTTCTTTGATAGAGCTTCGATGTGAAAGTCCCATTTTAACGAGTTGTCTACAACAAGTCCTAAGAATTTCACGACGTCAATAGTGGTGTTATTAAGTACAAAAGGTTGTCTAGTATTTTTATATGACAAAACTTTAGTTTTTGATAGGTTGAGGCATAGGAGATTAGAATCGCACCAAGATTTAATGGTGCGTAAGTCACTGGATATAGTGTTACATAGTGCCGTAACATCTGGGCCGCTCCAAGTGAAACTAGTATCGTCCGCAAAGAGCCAGATTTACCGCTAATGTCTAGATTTGCAATGTCATTGATAAACACCAGAAACAAAATTGGGCCAAGAACTGAACTCTGAGGGACACCACATTCTATAGGCTTACAAGAAGACATAGACGTATCAATTCTCACAAGCTGCCTTCTGTTGCCAAGATATGACTTAAGCTATTCGAGCGGCACTCCCCTGAATCCATAGTATTGCAATTTGTTTATTAAGATATTATAATTTATACAGTCGAAAGCATTAGAGAAATCACAGAAAATTGTAGCTGTAGAGTGATGGTTATTCAGGCTAGAGTATACATTATTAAAAGGGTCGTACATAGCATCATTTGTGCAACTGTTGCTTAGAAATCCAAATTGATGGGTAGTAAGTATTTTATATTTAAGGAGAAAAGATAGAAACCTTTTTTTAACCAATGTTTCAATGATCTTAGATAATGTGGGCAGGAGTGCAATTGGGCGATAGTTCGTAGCTTCATCTTTATCTCCTCCTTTATGCAGAGGAATAATTATTGCTGTCTTAAGGCAGTTTGGAAAAACTCCTTTTTGGAATGACTCGTTAATTAAAGTAGTAAAATGGATTATTGTCCATTCAAGAAGTTCAGAGAACATTTTGAGAGTAAGCCCATCAGTCCCAGATGAGGATTTGTTTTTAATACTTTTAATTGTACTACGGAGCTCATCTAATGCTACGGGCGTGAAGAAGAAACTGTGTAAATTCGCATTTGTTTTAGGGAGATATGAAAGTGAATCATGGGAAGGAGTTATGGTGTTCACTAAATTTTTAGCCACATTAACAAAGTAAGTGTTCAAATTTTCGGGTGAATTAAAGACTGTGCCAGACGAAGAAGTCTTATTCCTTAAGTTATTTATAATAACCCAAGTCTCCTTAGCAACATTACCGGATTTCGCTAGCCTCTCATAAATGTCCTTGGCAGCTTTTATAGTCTTACGATAAACCCTTCTATAAAGTTTCACGTAATTATAAAAGAAGATGTGATACTAACATATACATATGTATTATTTGTGATACTAACATAAAATTCCATATTTATGCCTAGCCTAGTTGGCATGCAAGCCTACTAGCCTAGTTGGCTTAGTGCAAAATAGATTTTATGCGCCTACATAGCTTGATTTGACAAGAAACATGTTTTGAAAGTCAGATTCGATTTTTTTTCTCAAAAAGTATGCGCTGTAGCGTTTTTCTACAAGAGACAAAATGTAGAAAGACAATTTTGCCAAAAAAATCGGTCGTCGGTAGAGTTCTTGATTTTTGTAAGTCAAATATGAAAGCGCTTACCAAAACATAGGTAAACCAAATCTCATTCAAATAAGAATATCGGTTCTTAAAATATCTTAAAAATGTGTTTATTATATATTTAAAGTTTGATGCCCTGTAACGGACAAACACAGCACTTTTGTGTAGAAGTAAGTTGTGTTCAATGAACTTATTTTGATACCAAAAATATGCACTAATTCTATGTCCACGGCATATTGGAACACCCTGTATATACAATATCAGACCTATATTTAATATGCTTTTTGATCAAATAAAATTTTCTTGTGAATATCTTTCTCTATTTCGTGCTAGATGATTTTTCGTATTTCACTGAATTCATCTAAGAAAAAAAATGTTGTCGATATTTCTGGAAAAAATATACTGTTCTTGGTTGTTTAGCTACAGTATGTTAAATGGAGATTCTGAAAATCAAATTTAACATGACTAACAAGGACATTTTGTTTGTAAATACGAAAAATATGAAAAACATGATAAACTGAATAAACGTTTCCTATGCTAAACTAGTGTCAATCTTTTGGCTTTTTGCAGGTGTATAATAAAAGACGTTTTATTCCATTAGTTATATTATGTTTGTTTGTTGAATGATTCACGACGTAAATTTTTATTTTTTAATAAAATATCTAATTTTATAATGTAAATAAATATGACAAGATTAATACAATAGTATGCTATTTTTAAAGTACATGCTTAATACACCTTAGTAGATTCTCTTACAGTCGGTATTTTTAAAAAAGTATGTTACAAAATGAATAGTGTCTTTTGACGAATTGTGCAATTTAAAAAAAAATATTCCTGCTATTTGTATCACAGTACTTGCAAAACATCTAGACTCGTTATACATATAATCTTAATATATTTTTTTCTTTGTAGTATACATTTATAAATATATAGGGTGAGTGCTAGATAACTGCAAATATTTTCAGGGCTGATGAACCTCCATAAAAGAAATATATTTTTTCTTTACTGTTTTTCACATAAGTTCAAAATAGCCGAGATATTTTACTTTGAAATTTTTGAAAAAATGTTTTTTTGCTTAAATTTTGAAAGCACTGGACTTTCTCTGTTTTTTTTCTTCTTCCTTTAAATTTACTTTACTTTTTAATTAAAAAAATGTACCTATACAGCTTAAAAAAATCTCATAGTCCTGTTCCTGGAGTAACTCTTTTTTAATTTTATTCATAGATTTCTGTTTGAATGGCGAAATATCTAGGCAATTTTTAATTATAGTTATTTATTTAGTAGCAATACGTTTATTTATATTTAATTTGATTGGATTTTAAAAGTCTTATCTATTTTTCCCTTAGTATTATTATAATCTAAATTAGACCTAATTAAAATAGGCTTTCATTATAATTTTTGGGTTCTTAAGTTAATTGGCAATATGACTTGTGTGTCACATGAGTATTAACAATTTTAAGAAAAAAACTTTTTTTCAGGCGCATTCTCACGGCTTGTCTACTTGGCAAGTATTTTTTATTGGCATACAGGGTCTGGCGAGAATTCGGCTTATAATAAATAACTTCGGTATAGATGCCCGACGAACCATGTATACCCTATATACCAATTACAAATGTTTGTCGAAAAAAGTACACGAGTCGTGAGAATGCGCCATTAGATAAGCATATTTGTTATACGAGTAAAAGGAAATTGGCAAGCGGGTTTTATGGTGGCATTTTATAACAAATAAATAAATTTTATTTTTTAGATCCCTGATTCAATAGAAAAAAGCCAGGCCAATGATAATCCTCAACTCTCCGCAATCCTATAGACATTATTTTTAATAATATATGTATCTAAAGGTGTCTTTAGTTGGTATAAGATTGTAGTACATGATATTTCTTTAACATTTTATAATACATCAAGGAATCGGTGATTTTAAAAATAAATATTTCCAACAAGAGAATAGATAAACTAGCTCCTATTCCAATCAGAAATACAGTGAATATAAATTTGGTTTCCGTTATTCCAATTCCACTGAAATTGCTCATATGCTCTTCGCATTTTGGTTTCTTCACAAATAGTCTCAGTAAGGCCCGTTTCTGCAGTCCGTTTTCAAAAAGTCTTTGGAATCTAAAAGTAACAAAATCTTATTAAACGTAATAATATTTTCTCTTTTGCATATTTTGGAGAAAACCAAACAAAATGTAAAAACTAATATAAAATACTCGTACATTCGTCACTTACCCAACTTTGTAGTGGTCAATGTATACTGAATTTTTATGAATCGCCAAGTAAACGTTTTTAGGAAAATAGTATACAGAAGGAGCCACTCTAACACTACATTTCTCTTGGTTTGTATATGTTTTTTGTATGATATGGTGTCCTGAAATATGTTTAATAGATTTATGGTCATAGGGACAATGCATATGTTTCGGGCAATGATGTATACAGGGCATTTAGGAAAATACCCTGCCGATAAAGTACTCTAACCAAGTACCGTCATCAGACACTATCGTCATGGTTTGTATTTTTTTTTTGGTTTGATATTTGAGAAAATAGCCAATGTTGAAAATGATACTGTTTTATTGGAATTTGTCAGTCATTATCGGAACAATAACGCTACTGCTCACGTAATATTGAAAAATGTTAAAATAAAACAACTATTAGCAGCAACAAACACGGCAGCTAACATTTCCTCAATGTTTCTGTTAGCCCCTGAACCCTGATTTTGGCATTCACAAATCAACACATTCAAAGCAATGAAATTCGTATTGAAATTAAAGAAACAGAGAATCATAAAAAACCCTTTAAACCAGATCTATCAAAACTCATTCCTGCAACTTCGTGTTAACGGGATAGTCAATTGCCGGTAGTAACCAGATGCTTGAAATGCCAGACGGTAGGCACAAAATAAATAAAAACATTACCTTATTTCTAATCTTTTTCAGAACTGCCCGAATATTGTCCAAATCTATTAGATTTTTATGGTAGTAGCCGATCAGCAAAAACAATGTCCATTCTAATGAGTATATACAATATTGACTGGTCATTACTGTTAAAGGCTGGATTTACATCTTTGTCCGTAACAGATATTCATATCTTTATGTTAAAAAAAATGTGTGTGCACTATGTGCGCATATTTGAAGTAAAACTTCTTATTTTCGTCTGTCTGTCTGTCCGTCTGAGGACTCCATTCGGGTACCTCTAGCCACGTGCAGAGTTTGATTCCAATCGACCCATATAATTAAGAAAAATCCTGATGATTTCGTCCATTTAAGGCCGATTTCCACTAGGCGATCAGGTCACAGTACGCTCATGATCCGCTCACGGTCAAGATTTTTCGACAGTATTTACACTCTTCAATCAAACGTCGTTCAAGTTGTAAAACTGATTTTAAAAAATGTTTAAAAGCTTTTGGAATAGTGAATTGGCTGCTATTGCAATATGTTTGGATGAAGAAGAGTATGAAAATAAAAAGAAACGGAAGATATGGGTCCATGATATGTTAAAAAAACCGAAGGTGAATTTTTCACTTTACATAAAGAACTTGTGGATGACGAAATGAAATTTTTTCAATACTTTTGTATGACGAAATGCGCATTTTATTATATTTTAAATAAAATTTCGTCGGACTTGATAAGAAAAAATACCACCTTTCGAGAATCTATCACACCACTGGAGAAATTATGTGTTTGTTTAAGGTAAGAAAATAACTTATTTTAATAAATAAAATTATTGTTAAAAACCAAATTGAATACAAATCGGATTATAGGCACCTACAAAACCCTTTTATTTTTAATAATAACTACAAAGCTGTGAAATTATATTTGTTCTTCACACGAGAAATCTTCATAATATGATGACGCTGCTGAGGAAAGTGGGGTAGACGTAGTTACAGAACCATAAGTCTTTGTTTGAAGTGGTAATTTTTGGTATTCTCTTTGGGGCTGCTCGATTCTATTAAAACTAGGACCAGAAGTAGACTGAAAATCATGGAGAGAGTATTGTTGATGTCTTTGGATACGCTCGATGCTGTTAAAAGTTCGACCGGAAGTGGATTGAGCAATATGGAGGGAATCTTGAGATGTCTTTGCGGCTGCTCGATGCAAATGAAACTGGAAGTGGATTGGAAATCATGGACGGAGTCTTGTTGGTATCTTTGGGGCTGCTCGATCGTAATAAAAGTATGACGGGAAGTGGCATTTGAAGCAGGTTGATCAGCACAGCCTCGATCATTATTAGGGCGGCCACGCATCCAAATATATTTGTCTTGAATATCGGATACATAATTAAATATTTGTTTTTTAGTCGTGTGAATATTGGCGGGTGAAAAATTACGCACCGTTGCCTTAATACTATCAAAAAATATCTTTTTCTTTTTCTGATTTTTCCGAATTTTTGCGTTCAACAATTCAATACAATTCTGCATTATCACGCACTGCCTCTATCATTTGTTCGTACATTTTATATTGAAAATTTGAAAAACACATTCACAGAGAAGAAAGTATTTACCCCAAACGTAGAATCAGAACAGAATTTGGCCGGCACCTGATCGCACTATATTCACACTGCCGTCCAGTCATCCGACAGTCAGGTCTCGATCTGTTCAAAATATTGTCTCCGAGAAATTCCGCGGTCAAAGAGCGTGAGCGTACCGTGAGCGGATTTGCAAATGTGGATGCTCCGTATAAATTACATTGAATAATAAATTTTGACCGTGAGCGGACAGTGAGCGTACTGTGACTTGAGCGCCTAGTGGATTTTTTTTTCTTTATTATCAAATCGTTAGTCTCACTCTGATGTAAGATGTAAACGAACCGACGTCGTATCCAACTTTGCAGGGTGGGAACGTGTGCAGCGTCGCTTACGTAGCCTACCCACCAAATTTGGTCGCAATCGGACGACATCAACTTTTGACGTTTCTTACGTCAAAACTAATTGAAAGGGTGGCTGTGATAACCAGCCAGCTCCATTTTAAGAAATTTTGTTTGCCGAAAACAGCTCCCAAGATCTACCCTGTTTTTTGCTGCAAACTCAAAGCAAGTTAGCTCCAAATAACGTTGTCATTTATGTACTGTTAAATGGAGTTATCTGATCGTTGCAAGGAACGATCAGACTATTGTTTAAAGGGCAATTCAGTAAAAATCTCATTATCGTAAAAAAGTGGGGCTGCCTGGTTATTGCAGCCACCCATCCAATTGTCACAGTGAAACGTGTCGTACACGGTCAAGTTGGTCTTGGCCCAATCTGTCGACTTTCATTAAAATCGGTCAATTTTTTGATTTGATTCAGTGATGATGGGGTTTCGTGGTGCACGAAACGCCGTCAAAATATCAGAAAAGATGGAGCTCGAAGACATTATCGAAGATGGTTAGCATTTTTGTGACGCCTGGCGACTTTGTGTGTCGCGGCCTTGAATTTTTACTCCCATCGCGCATAAAGAAGTTTCACTTCAAAAATCAAAGAACCCATAGCTTACCTATTGATCCTTGTATTTGAAAGGCAAAAAAACCTTTTCGGACATTTTCCATGCCTTCTTCAGCAGACATGAAAAACTTATGTAAATCCTTAGAAATTCTCTCTTTGTATATTATTTGACGCCAATTTTCATCTGTCCTCTCATTTGGTTTCTGTAATTTTGTATTCACTAATTTAGAATTTTATATGATAATTATTGGGAAAACTGGAAATCGTCCGATTTTCACCAAAATTGGTATACACACTATTTTGAGGTTGTAGATTACGAATCTGAACTTTTTTCTTGGCGGTCTCTTACCGTTTTTCAGAAGAACGAAAAATTATTTCAACATTGAATTTTTCTTTATTTTGGCTCTATAAAGTAATAATTTCACTATATTTTCATTATAGTATAGTTTATCTAAAAGCTACACTTGATTGGGGATAGAAAAATTTCCAAAATTTTACTGAAAATTTCACACCTCTACTTTTCAACCAATAACATGCTTTAATGTTGACCATAGACAAACTAACAAAAGCAAGACGCGTCAACGCTGTACTGCAAAATGGCAACAAGTTTGATAAGAGTTTATTACCGCGCTTGCGTCAACTGGCCTTTTAGACGAGGACGGTTTACTTATGGATTGTGTATTTTGTAGTAGTCTTTTAGACGAGAATGTTTTACTTATGGATTGGGTATTTTGTAAAAAGGATGTTTAATTAATAAGCGTTTATTAAAATCAAATACATTTATTTCCATTTCCATCGGTAAAATAAACAATAATTTCTGGACGTAACAGATATAAAAACAAAAAAGTCAAATAAACGAAAACGTATTCCTCTTTAATAAGAGGAATACGTTTTCGTTTATTTGACTTTTTTTTCGTTTATTTTAATAAATAACAAAAAAGATGATAAAAAAAACAACAGTTATATGGCAAACGAAATAAAAGCATTATTCTTCAAAAGGTACAAAAAAATAATTATGTATATTATAATATTAATAATAGGAACAACAAGAAACATCTTAAAAATATACAACTTTTTCAAATATAAAACAAAAACATAAACTTCACATTTTCACAAGAATTTAAAAAATATTAACATTTAGAGTCTATTATAAAATATAAAGCACGAAAATTCAAATCATAAAGAGATTTAAAAGATAAAGATTCTTATAACTTACAGTCAATTTGTAGGACCTTCGTTTTGTGTACGTTAGCGATGTAATCACAATAATATGTATAATCACAGTAATTATTATGCTCTTCATAAGTGTAAAATGTATTACATTATTTGTTTTCGTTTTGTACGCTAATAAAATAATAGTAATAACCAATCAAAACGCAAAATCAGGAATTCAACAGTTCGTTCAAGGCAAAAACGTTTTTCGTTTTATTTAGGTTAGGTTTGACGAGTGCGACTGCGCGATGATTTCTGACTCAACTGGCCAGCGCAAAAACAATAATTCGACTTCCTCAATCGTTTGAAAAGTCTTGCTTTTGTTAGTTTGTCTATGATGTTGACTAGTTACCATGGCAACTGAAAAAATTTCCGGAAATTTTTTCGAGGCGCCACGAAACTTTAGTGGAAATTTTTTGACAGTTGAAAAGGTAAACATAAGATCTACAATCATAATGTGAATGAACTACAATGTCTATATATTGAAATATTACCCATTTGAGTTTTAGCATTTGATGTAACTAAGGTTGGTAATATTTTTTATTTAAGGAAATATGTTAGATATACCTACATATGAATTTCTTCGAAATTGCCATGTTCTAAAAAATATAGTTCTGCCGCCTTTATTTAACTAAAGCTGGTATTTTTCTATTTAACGAAATATGATGGATATATCTATATGATTTTTTTAGAATTTATTTCATGTTGAATTATCTTCAATGCCAAATCTTTAATGATATTGACTAATATAGCAAAATAATAACGAAACACATAAATGTGTTTAAAAAATTTAGTAATTAATTAATTAATTAATTAATTAATTAATTATTAATTTATTTTGTTACTAAATTTAGTAATTATAGGTTTTATTAATATTAAAAACACAATTATTGTAAATGTTTGTAGGCTGGCTTGAATTGGTGGTTTGAATCTGGGTATTTTCTGTTTTATTTTGCATTGTGCTCTGATCATGATTGAACTGGCTAGTACTTGATGAAATGCTCCTCATGGATTCAATCATCTGTTGATGATGTTCAGCGTCCAACTGTAAGTAAGGTTTGATCGACTGACTATTACTATGTCCAGTAATTTTAATGAGCTGTTGTTCACCAACTCCTTTCTTGGCCAAATTCGAAACAGCTGTTGCTCTTGCAGAATGATTGGTTATTTTAACTTTTTTAGTGTCAATTCCTATATCTGAAGCTGCTGATTTAAACCATGAAGATACAATGTTCTTACCAACTGGGCTATTCTTGTACCATCCTTTCGAATTGGGTTGATTCCAGTATGGGTTTGGTGTTAAGAATAGTCTGTCGGTTTGAATAAGATTCCCCTTTTTTCCATCAACTTTCTAAACAAGCGAACTGGACACATTTGTGGATTTTCGAAATTTCTAATCAACCATTTACTATCCGACAGTTTTTTAGAACCACCTTGTGTGGTTTTAGAGAAAATTGGATTATATTCTATCCGACCTTTTGGGTTTCCGAAATTATCAGTTTCTTCTTTGAAGTATTGGATACAAGCAGAATGTCCTTTCCTCCTCTCCATGCCAGCTCATGTGAAACTATGTGAAAAAATTTACGCTGCAACCCATCTGGAGTATTTTCATCCCACATTTCAATAATTTTTTTGTATTCGTCACTGGTTAAGGCTGAAGCACTCACTTTTCTTTTTGCTGAATCTCTCTGTAGTATTTTGCGCTTAGCATCGCGTGCAGCTCTGGCGGTCACAAATTCCACATCAGAAAACGGATTAAATTTTATTTTATATTTTTCGTAATAAATTTCTTGCAACTGCTTAGCACTTGCTTCCACATCACTTTGACCACACTTTCCTTATAATCTTCAAAATTTTTCTTTTTCATATTAAATGCGTAGTCCTCCAGTATAGTAGCCAGCTGTACTACACTCATACACTCATGAATATTATACGACTTTTCATCACAAAATCCAACAAACTGTTTCCATACACTTGATTTTGATTTTCGGGTGTTATCTGGTTTTATATTTTCAATTTCTTCTTTAATGACTTGTTGGTTTACTTTTCCAAATCGCGACATTTCGCTATACACTTCTTACTCTACGTACAGACGTTTTAAAACTAGTAATAGCTTAATAACAGAATCGCAAACAAAAATGACAAAACACATAATATGTCAAAAACATCAATACCTTGGCCAACTTAACAAATTGAAATTATTTTAAAATGTCATGTTGGATTAATATTTTTTTTTTCAAATTTAGGTGTGAAATTTTCTTACCGAATACCACGCAAGCTTAAATTATTCCTGGAAATTTTCTTTCGGGCACGAATATTTAGGAAAATTATCCCTCGTCTTCGACTCGGGATAATTTTCAAAATATTCGTGCCCTCAAAAAAATTTCCGAAAATAATTTAAGCTCTTGTGATATTATAAGTGAAAAACACTTTTCTTAACAAAATAACAAAGAAAATTTAGACAAGATGGAAGTTTGACATTTGATATATCCTTCTTTCTCTCCCCTATGTAATGAGCGAGACAAATATATTCTAGACTTAATCTAGAAATTTGAAAATTTACAACGTTGCCATATCTTCTATTTTTTGATTGCATTGGTTTCAACTTCTATGCGGAGGGGTTAATCTTTTTTTTTGTTATATTATATTTATAACCACGAAGTTGCAGGAAAGAGTTTTGATTGCATTGGTTACAACTTCCATGGGGAGGGTGTTAATATTTTGTTGTTATATTATATCAAAAAAAGATTAACCCCCTCCGCAAATAAGTTATATAAAGACTATTTATAACCACGAAGTTGCACGAAAGAGTTTTGATTGCATTGGTTTTAACTTCTTTGCGGAGGGGGTTAATCTTTTTTTGATATAATATAACAACAAAAGATTAACACCCTCCGCATGAAAGTTGTAACCAATGCAATCAAAACTCTTTCATGCAACTTCGTGGTTATAAATAGTCAGATCTCGTTGGTAAAATAGTAATTATGGGAAAGAGCCGTTTTTCTGGCGACCGCCATTCGTAATCCCAGAATGAGCGAAAAAACACGCTAAATTTAGGTTTAGCATTGGCAACTTTGCTTTAAATGTCAGAAACACATAACCCAACATTTTCAGATTGTTTACAAATTTATTTTAGCAAATTTTCCTCTATTATGCATAGAATTGGTTAAAAAAGTAACAGAAAATAGCAATAACATCATTTTTTATTGAATACCTAACAAAATATGTACTAGAAAACCTTAAAAATATGAGAAATTAAGAAAAATTCGATGTTGAAATAATTTTCCGTTTTTCTGAAAAACGGTAAGAGACCGCCAAGAAAAATGTTCAGATTCGTAATCTACGACCTCAAAATAGGGTGTATACCAATTTTGGTGAAAATCTGACGATTTTCAGTTTTCCCAATAATTACTTTCTATATTTAAAGAACTAAGGTACTAACAGGGCCGGCGGAAGGGAAATATTGAGACCGGGCGAATACCCTACCTGGCCCCCCCAGTAGTTAACATATTACCATAACAACTAAGCACATTTATGCTACTTTAACAATAAAATTTCACTTAAAGGTACTTCAAAATTCTTCTCTTTGTTCAATCTTAGTCCGCGCAGGTTGTTTTTTCTATACCGGGTGCATCTTGAAAGTTTATTTTTTTAGATAAAAAACGAAATTTGGTATGTTAGTATATGACATAAATTAGGATTGATTGACGTATTCAATTGTTTTTGGTCACTTCCTGTCTCAACGAAAGACTATTGATTTTTAATTGGCACCGTCAGCATATTTCTGGTTTATTTGATAGTAAATGACCCTCTGAGTAGAATGACATATCATATGTCAACTTATGACATTTTTGTTCAAAAAATCCTATTTTAAATTTCAATCTAGAGTGCCATGGCTGTGTTAAAAACACTAATTTTTAAACAAGGAGCCTTGGAAAAATAGATTTGATTGTCTAATGTTTTTCGTGTCTTGTCCTGGTCGGTTAAAAAATGCCCAAATCGTATTTTTAATCATATGCCAATTTTTCAAATGGAACAAGTGGCTCATTTGCATATTTGGAAAAAGAATTTTTTACCAATAATTTTGTACCACACACTTGATATTTCGAGTCAAATTGTCGTTATGAACCGTATGTTACAATTTCAAATAATCCATATGCGAAAATGTCAAAAGTTGACATATGATATGTCATTCTATTCAGATTGCCATTTTCTATCGTATAAAGTAGAAATATACCGAGGCTGACATTTAAAAATCAAAAGTTTTATTAATTTCCGGTGAAAGAGGAAGTAATCAAAAACAATTGAATACGTCAATTAATCCTAATTTATGTCGTATACTAACATACCAAATCTCATTACAGTTGAGGGTTGGAACCTTTGGTGTTACACAGCAAAATAAAAACACTAAATCACCACAATACACCAAAACACTTTTACTTTTACACTGGACGCGCGTTTCGCTAACCATGTTAGCATCATCAGCAGATGATTATAAACTAGTTTGGTTAGCGAAACGCGCGTCCAGTGTAAAAGTAAAAGTGTTTTGGTGTATTGTGGTGATTTAGTGAGATGCATATTTGTCTTGCTTTAATGAGAAATTTCTACGATTCTGCTACCATTTACCATGTATTACTACATATTCAATCCAGAACAATCAAAATCACCAAAAAAATGATATTTTTCCCACTACTGTTAATAAATTAATGAGGCAAACTTACAAGTTTTTGTTGATAATAAGGATATCGGGATCCTATTTAGCTTCTTGCGAATGAATATTTGTCTCATATAATTTTAGGGCAGATCAGCCATTAACAAATAAAGGGTGTGGGTAGTAGACAAAGTGCAATTTTGAGCAACAAGCAGTCTAAAACTGTCAAATTTGCTGGCTCTTGACCCAAAACAGTTTGTTTAGAGAAATTTTATAAAAACAAGAATTATAGAAAGAAGGGTTATTTACAAAAAGTTGATAGCTTTTTAGTTATAAGTAAAATACCACGAACATTTTTTTTTAAATGTTTTAGTTGCTGGCATGGCGCCCCCAACATTCGGCGCCCCGGGCGGTCGACCGGGTCGCCCGGCCCTTCCGCCGGCCCTGGGTACTAACATCAAGTTTTAAAATAAATTTTGAATCTGTATGTTTCAATAACGTCTAATATAAATAACTATCCCCAACTGAGGGAATAAAAGGCACGTTTGCTCACAATTTTATATTAAAAATTGTTTTACAGAAGAGGATGATTAGTTTCGAGACGTCCCGTCTCATCCTCAGGCCCTTAAGACAATAAAATATCTTCCAAAAACAGGACAAAAAATAATAATATAAACTATTGTGAGAAAAGCTACATTTTATTCCCTCAATTGAGGATAGTTATTTGAAATAAATTCACATTGGGCAAAGGACTTTTATCAACTTTTATTATTAACCTTTTTTTTATCATTTTTATAAATTTAGAATTTGGAAACAAACCAACTAATATAAATAAAAAAAATCATAGTTATATTTTTTCATTATACATTAACAATATACTTACCAAGAAGTAGAAGTAATTATAAGACACATCCTGAACCCCGAAATCGAAACCAGAATAGTATATATCACTGAATGTTTTGATGGATTCACTGGATTTTTGAAGAAAAAGTATAATGCAAGCACAATAAAATGTAAAAATGACCATAAAACATAAATAAAAAATCGCTGTAGCAATTCGGCCTGATAAACTCTTAAATTCCAAGTTCCAAAATTTTTGTAACAGGGCAGATAGTAGCAGCATAAATATGTCAATTATAGAAGAATCAGCTCTGAAAAAAATTGCGTATATCATAAAACTACTTGCTAACAAAATATTTTTTAACTATTTAATAAATAAATTTTGGAATGAAATCTCTAGTGTTACGTCTGAAAATTACAAAGAAAACTGTTATGTGAAAATTTCATTGTCTCTATTGTATTGCACAACTACATTTTGGATAGATATACAGGATGAGTCTTAAATAAGTGCAAATATTTTCAGGGTTGGTAGATTTCGATAAAAGAAACATATTTTCTCTTTACCATTTTTCAAATAATTCCAAAATAACCGAGTTACTTTTACTTTGAAAATTTCTAAAAAAAAATAATTTTTTCCTTAAAATTTGAGAACCACTGGATCTTTTCTGCGGTTTCTTTCTTGTAAATTTAATCTATTACCTATGTGGCCATATTATAAAGAAATAATTATGTTTTTTTAACTAAAAACAAAAAAAAATTTCCCAAAATTCTAAATTTTCAAAAAAACTTTTTTGTGAAAATAAAAATTCATTATCGTGTTTCTGTGGTAGAAATATACTACCCATAAAAATATTTGCACTTATTTAAGACTTACGCTATATAAGATACAATTATTTATATGCAGGGTGAGTCTTAAATAAGTGCAGACATATTCAGGGCTGGTAGATCTCGAAAAAAGAAACATAATATATTTTTTCTTTACCGTTTTTCAAACAAGTCCAAAATAACCGAGTAATTTTACTTTAAAAATTTCTAAAAAAAAATGTTTTTCGCTTAAATTTGGAGAACCACTATTCTGGGTTTTCTTTCTTGTAAATTTAATCTATGTTGCCATATTATCAAGAAATTATGTTTTTTAACAATAAACTAAAAAAAAATCCAAAAAAGTCTTCAAAAAATTTCAAAATTTTGTTTTCGCCAAAAGAAGTTCATAATCCTGTCTATTTTTACAAACAATTATTATTAGGAACAACTTTATCATCAAGGTGCTGGTACTAATGATAGGTTGGTTAGCTGAAAGTGTTATCATTGTTCCGAATAATAACAGATTCTTTATAGAAGACTGTATAAACAGAAAATTACCACAATAGACAAAACACTTTACTTTTAACATTAAACGCGCGTTTCGCTAACCATGTTAGCATCATCAGCAGATAATTAAAACTATCTGCTGATGATGCTAACATGATTAATGATACGCACATCCATTGTTAAAAGTAAAGTTTTTTAGTGTGGTGAAGTAGGTAGAGTTATATTTTGCTGTTTTAACAACAAAGTTTCCAAACCCAACTGTATTATCAGACTGTATAGTGGTGAGCGAGACTCTTAGTCCTGGTGTTTAGTCTTGGTCCTGATCTTTAGTCTTGATCTTGGTCTTGCCTTTTGTGCTAGATCATTGCATGTATTTAAAAAAAATGCTGATTCAATGTATAAATATTGAGAAATAAAAACTTTCATCAGACAAATATTTTATTAATTTCCTTTTAAAAGTTTTATTTGCATTAAATTACAAAAAATACTACTTGTTTAAAGATTTTCTACATACAAAGTGCCTCTAGTAAAAACCTATTGAAAAGGTGCAAGGCTTACAAGAGTCTTACAGCAAGACCAATATACAATTATTAATAATATACAATTTGACCCAAGTTTAGGACTCGCAAGACCAAAACCAAGGCTACCTCTAAGGCTACTTATTAACTGCAAGACCCAAACTAAGAGCAAAAGAGTATAGACCTTGGCTTATTGTATAAATATGAAGTGATTTAGATCAATCGCTTTGGTGTAGTTTTCTAATATGTGTAACACTAAAGATTTTCACTTAAAGTGAATTAAAAAAAGAACTTATAGCATACCTATTATTAATAAATCGTCTCTCTTCAATAATAATAGCAGATAAAATGATTATTCCCGCAAAGAAAGTGATTCCTATACCATACCAGGACAAACAATCGAATGGCATCAAATAAACATTCTGTAGATAAGATAAAGGAGGAGCTCTTAACAGGAATGCTATGTAGTCAGGGGTTGTTGGAGCAAAGAATCGCATAAAAAGGAGTCTATTGTACTCTACAAATCCGTTATAACCTAAAATACAATAAATAATTCATGTGAAAAATGTGACAATATATCGGGTACGTCTCAAAAGTGGCTCACCCCTATAACCAAAGTCTATATATTACAATATATAACTTTATTTTTACATAAAAAACAAGATTTGAAATGTTAGAATATGACATAAATTAGGATTGATTGACGTATTCAATTGTATTTGGTCACTTCCTGTTTCACCGAAAATGACTACAACTTTTGATTTTTAAATTGCAGTCTCGGTATTTTTTTACTTTATTCGATAGGAAATGTCTCAAAAAACTCTAATTAGAATGACATATATATGTTAAGTTTTGACATTTTCTCTTATGGGTTATCTCAAATTGTAACATGCGGTTCATAACGATAATTTGACTCGAAACTCGAAGTACCAGATGTGTAATACCAAATTATTCGTAAAAAAAACTTTTTCCAAATATGCTAATGAGCCACCCTCGTTCCATTTGAAAAACAATAAATTTTGATTAAAAATACGACTTGGGCATCTTTTAACTGGCCAGGATAAGACACGAAAACCATGAGACGATCAAATATATTTTTCCAAGACTCCTTGATTAAAAATAAGTGTTTTTAACATAGCCATATGGCACTCTAGATTGAAATTCAAAATACGAATTTTTTTAAAGCGAAAATGCCAAAAGTTGACCTATAATGACATGTCATCATCCATCCAGAGTATCATTTTTTCTATCGAATAAAGTACCGAGGGTGCCATTTAAAAATCAAAAGTTTTAGTTATTTCCGGTGAAAGAGGAAGTGACCGAAAACAATTGAATAGGTACAATACAATCCTAATTTATGTCATATACTAACATAACAAATCTCGTTTTTTTTATCTGAAAAAATAAAAAAAAAAGTTATAGGGGTGAGCCACTTTTGAGACGCACCCGGCATGTTATTAATAATTTTTCAACAATCAGTAGCAAAATATGTATCGTTGATGAGATTACACATTACATAGCTGAAACGTTTTACGAGGACGATGTTGATTTTTTTTAATCATCTAGGACATTGGAGCTCAGATTTATTTTTATTTATATAAATAGTCGTTCTGTAAATGTACACACTTTTGAGAGCAATGAAGTAAATGTTAACTTAATATGTAACAACTTGGGCTAGGAATAGCCATACTATTTCTCATAAATAAATGAATTTTATTATTTTAATTTTACCCTTCTCCCAATTCTCCTTCACCAAATTGTCAATAATCTGGTTTTTACCTGCTATATCTGCTTTACGCCTTTGAATATTTCCCAACATGCTATTATTTTCGTACATTTTTGTTTTTTCGTCAAATTCCAATCCATAGTTGTCAAAAAAATATGGAAAATGCGTACCATTTAAGTTTTCAACCATTATTGATAGTAAAATGTAGTTAATCTTTAGAATATTATCTTTGTCGATATTGCTAAAAAACAATGCTCCGCGTATTACTATTATTAAGTATTTTTAATTAACTATATTATAAAGTATTTTTAATAATAAAATTACAGAATTTAAAATTCGCCTACCACTAAATGCATATCATCAAATAACATTAAATTAAGTATTTACCTAGTATGTGTAAATAAACAAAAACAGAAAACCGTATTGCAAAATAAAATTACACTAAATCACCACAATACACCAAAACACTTTTACTTTTACACTGGACGCGCGTTTCGCTAACCATGTTAGCATCATCAGCAGATGATTATAAACTGTTAAACTGTTAAACAAGTTTATAATCATCTGCTGATGATGCTAACATGGTTAGTGAAATGCGCGTCCAGTGTAAAAGTAAAAGTGTTTTAGTGTATTGTGGTGATTTAGTGTAATTTTATTTTGCTGTGTAACACCAAAGGTTCCAACCCTCAACTGTAAACCGTATTGATTGTATCAAGGCTAAAAACAGTTTTCGTTTGATGTCACTGCTCGTAAACTATTTTCGTGTAAAAGTTTTTAAACCGTCTTATTGCCTATTTGCTAACTAACATGTTTTCTTCAATTTTGTTACTTTTTATTTTAATTTTTTGTTTCAAATTTTAACATTGTCAATATCATAAAGAAACTGTTATATCTCCAGCATTACCTACAATATAGCAGTTTTTGTTGAATTTATTTTGTTCAATAATATAAAAAAAATTATATCCATATTTATTTTATATTTTTAAACAGATGTATCACAAGATTTTAAATTATATCACAAATTATATTTAGTGGTTTAAATATTTTGATTTTACATGATTCTGTAACCTTCTATACATAGCCTTCATCAGCCTATAATAGATGGCGCTATAGTATTAGAATATAAATAATTTATGACATTAAATTTTATGATACTTCTAGACCTTATTAATCATAATTAGAATGTTCAATTTCAAAAAGTGGCCAGTCGTGACATGGCGGCAAATGTATCTGCTCCAGAGATAAGGAAGCGGTTTCTTCCATATCTCTGGTCTGCTCCTGACCTGCGAATACCAAGCCGAGGACAGACCTGACGAACGTTGCCATTCGTTCGTTTTGCCGTCATTCACACCATTGCTTTTTCAATCTTTTTCTTTTGCTAATATTTTCACCGTGTGCACTCTTTCCACTTTATGCATTTCTAACCGATACGTCCATACTGCAACACTTTCAATCATTCGCCGCTCGCATTTAGAAGTTATTTACAAAAATTTACCTTCAAATTAGTAAATAGTAAAATTTATAATACGGCCCAAAATTTATATATACGGCCACATTCTGTTTACAAAAATTTGAAAGTACCAAATAGAGTAATTTTAATCTTAATTAAAATAATTAAGATTTTCGCAACTTCTGAAAAAAATTACGATGATTAAACGGTATTTTGCTGGAAATATTATTCCCGCTGTGTTGCTCCGGAAAGTTTACACCGAATAAGTCAAAATAGTTTAAAGAATAAACTAGGCAGTGGTTTGAAACTAAAGGCACGGTATTAAGAACATGGAAGTGCGAAGACAAAAATAATAATTGAACAGGAAGAAAACAACAATAATTCGAACATTCTTCATGTTGAAGAAAAGAAAAACATTGACTCCCGTCTATTAGGGTTACAGCAAGTTACAGTAAGAAAAGACCACAGGATCTTTCACCGAACAACTTCTTCCTGTGGAGAACGACATCTCTGTAGAATGCTAAAATATTCTCCCCTAACAGCTTTGTATTGTGAGGCGTGCATTTTACAATCATTTAGGGTATTGTTTGGCTGTGAATGGGCGATTATGTAAATATCTTCATTAATTAGTATAGTTTAATAAAGTTCATTTAGTTATAAATTTTTCTTTTATTTGTTAAATTATTGTGGATTTTTGTGGCATGAGCGAGTGAATAGCAATCAAGTCAAACTCCGCAAATACTATTCTCAGTTCAACTCAAGAACGGTAAACTAATAGGAATAGGATTGCTCATCCTCATAAGACGTACGTTCGCCTCTTCCCGCGCTTCAGCTGACAGTTGTGACGTCATTGTAGCCCTTGTCAAAGCCTTCGTGGCCTTGTCATGATAGTGTGTATTATTAGTTGCCTATGGTAAACTTATAAAAATAACAGCTGAGAAATTTTGAGTTAATTATTTTGTCAATTTTAAATGTGAAAAAGGTCTCTTAAAGTTTTTAGAGCTATAGAGTGTATAAATACGTTCATTTTGTGTTGTGGATTGTGACAAAGTGCATACTAAGTGCCCACGATTTTGTTTATTAATTATTTTAAAGCAAAATATGGAAGTACTCTAAAAAGAATGCTTGCAAAAGGTGATGCTGGGAACTGCTGTTCTTAAAAATGCATTATCCGAGTATTTAATACGATTTATACAGTTAATTTTCTATACTGCATACATATAAAATGTTTAAATAAATAAACTAAATAATGAACGTTTTGCATTCGGTAACCAATAATGCACGTGTGTGTATTATTGGTTGCCGGATAAGGACTATGACTAATAACCATGACAAGGGCTACAATGACGTCACAAAGCGAGTAGTTTTTAGAGGTGGGCCAGTCTGCGATTTTTGTGGAGCTGCTACGCTCTGCGACTGCTCCAATAAAAGCACTGTGACAAGTAGCAGCGATTTTTCGGAGCAATTAACCTATAAATTAAAAATGTAGTTTTATAGGTTAATTGCTCCGAAAAATCGCACTCGGTGTTCGGCACCGTTCGTTGCATTTACTAAAAAGTACAGGACTATAGGTGTGATTATGATAGACAACATCATCGTTTATCGTTTAGTTTTTATTTATTTATATCGTATGATCGAAAAAAACGGCGTCAGCGATAGCTATGAAATGAAGATCGCTGGCATTTTATATGTAAAATTTATGGGGAATGTTATCGATTGTCATTTCCAAGCCAACTGGACGCCGTTTTTTATTTCGATGATACGATACTAGTGGCGATTTTAACGTCTGTGCAATCGGAGTAAGTCACCGACGGGCCCCAAGCCTCCCGGGCCCTCACGAACAAGATTCGAACTTTTCCGAGCTGCGGGCCCCTAGAGCTCTTAAAATCGCGGCTGTACGGTACTATACTGTAGCAATATATTTCAGATATTACATCTATTAGGAAAAAGAATATATTGATTTTTCTTTTGTCTTACTTGATAGATGTTGCTATATTTTTTTAGTCTATTAAGAAGAATTTGAGTGTTTCTAAGTACCAAGCACTTTGCTATAAATATCTTAAAGAGTCTGTTCATTTTCACAGAGTGGTGACCCATAGTAAAAACTTAATGTTATATTCAATTCAAAGTCGAAACTTATGGTCGAAACCACTGTCAAAAAATTATTTATTAGTGACCGGTTTCGGCTATTTAGCCATCATCAGACCTTAAAAATAGATATAAGTAATAAAACTGAGATGAATGTATAAGATCAAATAAAAGATAGGATATACAAGAAAACACATACAAAATTAACTAACAAATAAACATATTAACAAGTTAAAAATTACCTTTTTCAAAAATAACTGTTTGTGATTAATATATAATACATAAATATCCTATTTAGATACATGAAAGAAAAAGGGAACGCTGCTACGTTTCCTGTTCCCAAACTCCCAACAGCTCCAGTCCACAGAATATACTCAATATACTACGCTCCAGTCGACTGCGACCTGCGACAACTGCGACTGGAACAGTCTGACCGGGCGACGGGGCTAGGAGCATTTTCAGAATTTACACTATTGCCTGCTATTGCTCCTATTGCTACTCATGAGCGCAGATGTCCTAAACTTGTAAACTGCTCCGAAATGTCACTGCGATTTTCTTGGAACTGGAGCAGTCACATACTGCGACGTTGGTGGAGCTGTGACAAAGTAGCGGACTGCGATTTCACAACCCACCTCTAGTAGTTTTCGCATGCACCTGGCGGACAGTTTTGGCTGAATGAGCAGTCCTATTAGGTTAACTGTTCTTGAGTTCAACTAATTCTTTTGTAGATGATCATCCAATTCAGAAAAAAATAACCATCCTTTCCAAACTACATAAATTCTTGTAAACAAAAAAAAATCTATAGGCCTATAACACGCCCTCCTTGATCCTCCAATGATGTCGTCAGCATAAATTTTACCTGTCATTGTACCTCCACAGACATTCCGTTCGGTCTCCGTAGAAAATTCCACCCCAGACCATTACACCTCCAACTCCAAAGGGATGCCCTTCTTGAACATATCGGTCGTTAAGTCTTGTATTTCTTAGTCTCCACACACGTCTGTCAGTACGAAGACAAAAGCGGCTTTCATCGCTGAACATCGCAGTATGCCACTCATCATTCCAGTTAGCTCTTTTATTACACCAGAGCAAACATTGAGCTTTATGACCTCAACCTGACTCTCGCGGTCAACGGAGGGCGTCTATAGGAGGACGGTTATAGGCCTATAGAAATGTAAACGTGCTTTTTTTAATCGATTTAAGACCGTGCGGGGGTAATAAGTACTCTGCTGGCATCAAAAAGGTCCTAGCCGAGCAACATGTAGTTTCTTGCAGGATCCATCCTAGCTCCTCTCAGTAAGCTTCGGTCCTCCCTAGCATTTGTCGACCTTGGTCGACCTTCCCTATGCCTCTCCATGACAGACCCAGTCTCATTAAATCGGGTTTTAAGCCTAGAAATTACACTGTAGGTGACTTTAAATCGATCAGCCACATCGATCTGTCGCGCACCGCCAAGAACCAACTTAATGGCTTGATTTGCTTCCTCTATTGTTAAATGACGTCTGTTCATATTATCGATGACAAAATAACCACAATATCGCAAACTGCTCTTAGCAACACGCAAACAAGTTCTATTCTAAACAAAAATTAAATGTACATTTTTGATGATAATGCTTTTTATTTGTTTGGGTACAATTTCTTATGTTTACAAACTGTATTTATTTTAAACACAAAGGACATAGGTATTAATAATTATAACACATTTTTTCTGAAAATTTTTCTTCCTAGCCAAACACAATATCCTTAAATTTTGTCGATTAGTTTATTTTTGCTGGTATTTTAATTATTGTAGCTTTGTCTGGGCCGTATTATAAATTTTAGTAATTTGAAGGTAGATTTTTGCAAATAACTTTTAGATACTTATTCCAAATAAAACGAAACTCTAGACGAAAGTACAACCAGATACCGTAATATCACAGATAATATAGTAATCTGTGGTATTGTATTTACTTTGTTTACCTTAAATCTGTCAAATGATCCAGACTTTCCTTAAAAATATAATAATAGGAAATTTTTATTGGTCTTCCCATAAGATTACTTCTGTTCTTTGGTAAAATAAGCGCATTAAAATAATTGAATCCATTTTCCTCAAATATTCCAATGTCATTTAATATAAAATTGGTACTTCTTGCTTCCAATTTATATATAGCACTTATATTAAAGTTAAGGACATTAGCCTGGGTAATGAATGTCTTGGAATTTATGGGAAAATACAAATGGTTTATTTGATCTAAATCAGGATTTAACAGAATCCAACTGATATAGGTTTCGTACATATTATACCTTATTCCCTAAAATGAACTGTTTGGTTAAGGAATTTTTAACCAAAAAAAAAATTAATTACTTAAATACCTACCTGATCTAGAAAATTGACAGATCCAGCACAAGTCATATTTATAATAAAAGTATATGGATTTTTGAAATCAAGTTTTTCAAATTTGTTATTCATAAAGGTAGCGTAAAAGAATTTTCCAAAAAATATACGTTCTATTTTCATCTGAATATCTGAAATTGATATAGCATAGTATAATAGCTTACTTTGGGTTTTTTATATTACCGATTCTGAACCGTCTAGAATTGTGCAATTTTTGTGTTGTACAGTTCAGGGACGGACCAGAATGGGTATTAACTTTATTTTGTACCCGAAGAAAGCTAATATCTTTCAAAATATCTGGATATATCGCTACTAAAAAGAATCACAAAAGCTAACATTATCATCATCATGGCATAGTCACTGTCCTCTGCTGGACATATGCTTCCTCTAAGTTCCATCTTGTCACGCGGTTCTAGACCATTATTCAGTTCCAAGAAATTCTTTTTATACATCATTGCTCTGAAGCTAGCGCCAGCGTCAGTGGTCTACCCCTATTACGTTTGTCTTCTCGTAGCCGCTAATTTCTATATTTGTTTAGTCCACCTGTCGTTTGATGTTCTACCATATATGACTTTCCCATCTCCATTTCATTCTGGTTATGTGTTCAACTATGTTTTTGATCTTAGTTCTTTGTCTGATGGTATTATTAGGTATTGTGTTTGTTTTTAGATCTCTCAATTTCTTTTTGGCCTGCTTTTAGATTTTCTTCTAACTTTTTTTAATATCAGCGTTTCCTCTCAATATGTTATCACCGGTAGGCAACATTGTTTGGTTTGGCTTGATTTGGTTAGGCTTTTCTCTTCAGACATTTGGGTATATTACTGTTAAATGTCTTTTGTAGTTTGTGAAAAGCAGCCCTTAACTTAACAGCCCCAGCAACTTAACATTTTACACTTAAACTTAACATTTTACACTGTATCTCGTGCGTTTGATTGTTTTTTCCATTCTGATTTCATAGCCGAGGTATTTGTACAGTATTCAAATATGACGCTTTTAAAGGGAAACACCCTTTTCTATAGGAAATAGACAAAAACTAATATAGGTATCTGGAGCTCAATTTTTATCAAAAACATGATGGTGAAAACCGCACATCGATATCTGTTACCTACCGTTTCGGAGTCACGTTTTTTTTTGCAAAAATGTCCATTTTACCTTATTGATGATCAGCCCTTAATAGAACTCGAAAACATATCTTTCCAGCAATACGAGGCACCGCCGTAGAACGCTAAAGTTATCAGCAAATTTTTGCAGCCAATTTCGAGAATAACCAAGATCCTAGCCGTAGGCCGTCGAGGCCGCCGACCGCCGGACTTATGACCTATGGATTTTTATCTTTGCGGAAGAATAAAGGTTCTTATTTTTAAATTGGTCGTATAATCTAGACAAACATTAGAAGTATTTAGCGGTTATGCGAGGGTACCTTTCACCCCCCACTGATGAATTCCGCGAGAAATGTTCAAAAACGGTCCCATCTATAACAGAAGACGGTCGACATGTCGAACATCTGTAGTCTGTAATAAAATCTCTTGGTTTGCTATTTGTTTTTATTGTTATTAGATATATTTTAAATGTGTTGATGTTGTCAAATATATAGGGAAATTAAGATAACTTTCGTTGCACATCATAATACGACCGCCAGCAAACTCCATAAGATGACGCATGGTGTCAACGAAAGTTGTTTTAATTTCCTTTTAGTCTAAATTGTTATAAAATTCTGCATCTCTCATTGCAAATATTATTTTCGTTTCAATTGCTGCTCAGAGCTGGAATATTTTTGCATTGCAGCCGGTGCCGTTCAAAGCCTACTTATTCAAAGTAGGCGAATTTAAAAAAAATCTGTATCTCGAAGAGGAATCGAGCAAAATATCAAGCATGCTATATTTTTGGAAAGGTAATTTTAAATTCTTTTCGGTTAAAAATATACCTAACCTAACCATACAAACAATCAAAATTTCTGTTGGTGATTCTTAAATTAACCATTAAATTCTACATAAAAAGGTGCTTTAGAAATGTTTTTTAAGCTGAATAAAAATACAAAATTTTCCATAGCACAAAAGTTACAGCAATTTGTTAAAAATGCACATTTTTGAAAACACGCCGTAACTCCGAAACGGTAACATATGTGTGCGGTTTTCACCATCATGTTTTTTATAAAAGCTGAGCTTCAGACAGCTATATAAGTTTTCGTCTATCTCCTATAGAAAAGGTTGTCTCACTTTAAAAGCGACCAATTTGGCCTACCGTGTACACATGCGTCTCTTTAATGCCAGAGTCGCATGTACTGACATTTTGTGCAAGTACTATATTTGACATGTTTGGGTTTTACTTGCATTTCGGAGACCTACTTTCGATGAAGCCTGTACTATTTCTTATTGATCCCTCTGTTTTCTCAATAAGATACAAATTTCACTACGTATTCAAAAAATTTTAAAAAATCGAAGTAAATCTAGCAAATACATAATAAGTTTAAGTTATTTATTATTAATATTAGTTATAAAATACATTTAAGTTAAAATCCAAACGGAAGTCAGCTTGCCAGTGGTTACCATAAAAAAATTGCTTAAGCACCGAAAAACGCTTAAAGTTTCTGGAAGCATATCTCCCCCCATAGTCAGAATCAAAAGAACGAAAGGACTATAGAAAAACGATTTAAATGTCTAAGTGTAACTGCTTCGGGAACACTTGTGTCATTCGAATTGTTTACAATTAAAAAGCCACTGTCAAGCTGTTTTGACTTTTCTTTTCTTTTTGTTTCCGAAGACGGGGAGAGACATGCCCTGAAAAGTTAAGCATTTTTTATGGTTAGTCAAATTTTTTTACGAGTAAACTAGTTTTGCTTTGGATTCTACGCAGTGGCTTTTTACAAAAAAATACCTTTTTATTTTTTTGAGTGTCGAAATACCCCGACAATTTTCAAGAAATGAGCCCTCCACACAGGTTAAGACATCATTTAGAGTAAAATATGCGATAACAAATGTAATAAACATACCATTACTAATACAATTAAAATAAATAATTCTGTTAGGGCACTTTTGTTTTTCAATGAACTGAATCAAGAATTCAGTTTGATCTTCATGCGGATCTTTTTCCAACAAACTAATCTTTATGGTTAAAATTAATATACACAGGAACAAAAACAGTTTTCTCTGTACATGTTTATACATATCTCTGCCATGTATGATGCTTTTACCCGTTTTATATATTCCATTAATGATAAGCAATAAAGACATAAATTTTATTGACCATCAAAGACGTGTAAACAAGGAAGATTACCATTTTGATGGTACGTAAAGTGCTGGAGCCGATTAAGCAACACTTAAAGGTATGACAGGTGCACATTTTATGTAATAATTCAATAACAATATTAACTTGATGACTTTTTTTTATTAATATTTATATGATATATTGCATAAAATGATTGCTTGAAAATATTTATATGATATATCGCATTAAATGATTGCTTGTAAATATAGTAGACCTTCATAATGTTAAACATTTGTATGACAATAAAGCAGTGAAATATTGAAAAAAAATCTTGCACCATTTATTAATTGGTAATTGAAACTTTTTGTAAGTAGAACTTGAAATACTTACACATTTTGTATGCAATTTGAAATGCTCACTTTTATGTACTCCAATACATTTATGTGGACCTCTTCTTATCTCT